ATGTTGTTATGAGAAAAATGATAGCTTCCTTTACGGTTTTTGGCATGGCGGCTTCTTTCTTTCTTTATCAATCGTGAGTTTATTAGATTTTATTTCGTGTCTAGACTCGTTATCACTATATAACTTTTTACCGGGTTGTACAGAAGTTCTTAGTTTTTAAAAGTGCGAAGCATAAATATATATCATACTAAGAATAAGGTACTTTAAAAACTCAAGTCAAGTTGCAGAACAACAATTTTAGTCGCGGCATAGCGGCTCACAGAATGGCTCTGAGTTTGTTTTCTTTTTTCAAGTACAAACGTTTAGCTCATAGCTCCGTCATCTCTTGACCAATTTGAGATCTAATTACAGTTTTGGACTCGATAGGTCAAACCCTTTCGATTGATGTATTTGATCATGTCCAAGGTCTCATGGATTAATTTACTCTAATATGCCTAAAATAATTTCAATTTGAGGGCAGGCCGGTAGAGATCCTGATGAATAATAAAATAGAATCGGGTATAATCGCAGAAAAATGTAGCTAATAAAAAGGAGAAAAGGTCTCATAGATTAATTTATTCCAATCCTGCCTAAATTTGCAACGTCAGAAATTCTGTTGAAGAATAAATACTTTATGGTATGAGCATTGTAATACTTTAATCAAATTAATTACCACTTCTTACTTCATTGATTAATATGTTTATTAGTATGGCTTATTGTAGTTAGCAGGCTGTTCTATGGATCAAAGGGTCCAAGGTTCAAAACACGCCCCACGCTTTAAACTGTTGGAACGTTATACAAATGACAGTTAAGATCTATAATCAGCCCAAAGAGACGAACAAAACCCTTGGGCGGCGGGTGCTACTAGCTGGCTGTCTTCCCTTTGGTTTGTAGTTGAGAATTGGGCATGGCTATATTTTGGCCGTTTAGCTGAAAATTATAGTTCATGGTTAGTAAAAATGAAATAGCCAGACTTCTGAATTATGCCAGAATTGCCATTTTTATTGGATGAGCTGAGTTATATTTTTACTTTCTGTAATTTTTAAAAGCAGCCACTGCCAACTTATACTTAGAAAGTTACTTACTTTTCTTTCTTCCTGTTCTTATATATTATTTATTGCACCCCGTAGTTCAGTAGTAAGTCTAGGGGCTTATAATGTTAAAATTCGTGTTTCGATACCCATGATACACGATTAGACCATTGCATAACTTAACAACAAATAAAATATTTATTTTTGCATTAACGAATTTTTTTATTATAAAATTCCTTTTAATAAGAATATCTTCGTGTTTTTCTTTTTCTCGGGTCGTATATGACTTGTGCAAGATAGGTTGTCCAGTATTATGTATATATAAGAAAGTATCTTGTTACTTCATGAAAGCTGTAACTTTTTTTTCTGTTAAACTACCCCTCATTAACAACATCAGTTTTACTTCAGTTATTTTGTAACTAAACTAATGGGGTTATTTTTTAAGTGTCGATGACGTATTCAGTACAACTATTTGTAAAATGATGAGCTGAACTCTTTTTTTTTCGTAAACTTTACCGAACAGTATTTTCGGGCATTATGATGATGTTTTAAAAAACTTATTTGTACAATACTCTATAGAAAGTCTACTTAGAAATGTCGCTTAAGTATGACTTGCAGTGAAAAAAAAGTACGAATTATTCCATGGTGTGACTTGTTGGACAAAACCAGTTTCCAAGCTCATGACGTTTACCTTAGGGGTGAAAATGAGACTGTGGTATTTCCTCTTTGTTCACACACCTGTATTAAGTATATATATATATATATGCCCCTGTTAATACAGATGGAATCTACCCACACTGATCACACGCACAGGCAGACATTTGCAACCGAAACGTTAACTGATATACTACAAGTACAGCTGGAGAGGCGTGCGAAGTCTGACATAGCATAAATAGCTTCAGTTGTTCAACACTCCCCCATCTAGTTTTTACATTTCATAATTTAAGTCGTGGCTGTGTTTAAGCCTTCGAGGCAAGGAATCAGAACTTATTACTAAAAGAAATACTTGTACAGCTTATCTCTCAAGTGCTGAGAATTACAGTAAAAAAAATTGAACAAGATAAAAAAAAGATCATCTCCCTAACTTAAACACGACTTTGCTTCGTTTTTTATATTGTTTCCTGAAAGTAACGTGCAAGAAAAGATTAATTTCTGTACTACAGTTGCGTATTATAAAGCCCTTTTAAAGCATGCATGTTTTAATAATGTCATATAGTGGGATATAACGTTTTATATTGCACCGAAAAGTAAGGGTTCGATACTTGTCGTTCTTTCCTATATAACTTATATCAACAGTTTTATTAAGAACTTTAAATTAATTTTTTCCGTATTTAGCGCTACATATCTGTTAATTTCAACATCAGAGGGAAGAATGGACTAGGAATACTTTAGCGTATTTATTTATTTACTGTAATATTTCTGTGTTGTTTAGATTCAATTTGCATGTGTTATGTGCCAAGTTTTCAACTGAATTTATTGCGGACTGATGTGATTCATAGTCTTATTAAAAAGTAATAAATCGATGATTTATTGAAACTGTACAAACCGATTCGTTTATAATAACCGACTTTGTAATTTCCATAATTAGACAAAAAAACTTACTGAAGTTTTCATTCTCTGTATAGCTTGCTTAACGGTAGAAATATAATCACAGGTTAAAGACAGCCTGTTATTTGATTAAAAACTTAGTCCATTAAATTGTTTTTGAATCTTTCTGGTACGTTTATAATGTTCTTGGTCAAGCTCACTTAGCGAAGCTTGTAGTATAAAATTATGAAGAATAAACAACAAATACTGGTATAACAGTACAAAACAGTCTCTTTCAAAACTTGCAAAATAGAAACATGGAAATATAACTTGTAATTGTGTTAAGTGGTAATTAGCCTTAAGTTCGCTACAGCAAGCCGGTCTGTACCGTAAAAACACAAACTCGTATTTCATGAGAATTATCTTGTCTGCTCAAAGTGTGTTATTAATTGTACATTTATGCTATCCATGTAATTTGTTATTTATTATTTTTTTATCTTCATAATAATTAGTTTTTGCCATACCTTCCGCAACCCAACACCATAGTTAAACAATCATATGTACTTACTAGACACAAATGTTAAGCTTCTTTAAAGTTCCGCTGTTGGTGCTGTATAACGGGCTTCCATCGGTCACTACTCTCTGTAGACGTTCTTAGGAAGGATTAAATAAATTTTGCATATTCTGGTGTCACGCTTTATAAGGAATAAGGAAGTAAAGAATTACCTTTTTTATTTTTTAAGTTAGCTGTATTCTTTTAGATTACTTCAGTTAACAGTATTGGTTAAATATCTGATATATGTATAATGTGTTTATTTTCATTGTTTTTCAGTATAATTATTATTATTATGAGGATTATTTTGAATCGTTAACTTATGGATTTAGGACTAACCTAAATCTCTAGGGTTTGCCGAACCCCGTGTTGTGTTATTGGAATTATAGCCAAATAACACTAACAGCTGATGAATCAATGCATTTTAAACATCGTAAAGTAAGAACGGTATATTCATTACATGGATAAGGTTTAGTTGTGATATATTTTAGTTGTCTTTTATTTTAGTATGATTCCAAGGGGCTGATATATTGCTCGGTGATGGATACAGTTGTGGAACTTTTGTGGGTGCAATCAGAGAGATGTTTGTCCGATGCACTACTAATATTGCGATGGGTTATTTTGAACAAAAACTGTAGAGGTCATGGTTTGGCCAGCCACAAGTGCTAAGAAAAATCAAATATATATATGTATATAATATCTGGCTTTTCCTCGACTTGCTAGAGTGATGAATCAGAACAAATAATGCAGTTGCGCTTATGCTTTAATATATACTTTTGTAATTTGTTTATATGCTAATCTTGATTTAGGTGTTTGTTTCTCCTTCACAAAGTGAAACTTGGTTTAATTTTGTTAATGTTTCCTTCAGTAAACCATGAAATAGGACAATCATAAGTAATTGTAAAATACATATTTAAGTAATATAATAATAGCACCTAATCATGAACGAAACGCTACACTCTGTATTGTGTGGGTGTGCTGGAATTTTGCCAGGTCGTCATCCAGTGACGTCATTCATCAGTTGTCAACGCGAAATATATCGCAATATAAATATTGTCAACATCAACCATCAGCGTTATTACTGTATACCCCAACCATTGAATGTACTATATTTTATGTAGAAGTTAATTTAGTAATATAATTAATCGAACAGCCTTTATTTTTTTATTTTTTCTGTAAAAGAACCTATTGAGAATTATATGTAGTTCGTGTCTAAGTTCACGGCTTCTTGTTTTCTGTTCTGTTTGCATTTTTACGGCTGAATTATTTTCCCCAACTTGAATTTTCATATGATATGTTCCTGAATTTATTTTAACTAAAGCCATTTGATTTTTAATTTGTTGCTAAACACTTATAAAATAATTATTTCCTTTTTATCTTTTATTTTGTAATCTTGAATAATACCATTATGTGATTTGTATTATTATTTTGATTCTATATGGTATAAAATTCATCTTTTTTGAAACTCCCCTTTTGGCAAATGCCTTTTAACCTTTGACTTGGCCAGACCATTAATTTCATTTTTTGCCTACAATATGCTCATACATCCTTGCTTATCTCTCAATCAGTCATGAACATTGACTTCTGACTAGCATTAGTTTATTATGCCTTTGTACAAATGTCATACTTAACCCCTGTAAAAGTTTCGTCAATATTTCACAAACGTTTCAGAACATCGCGATTCAGATATTTATATTAATTACCAGCAAACATAATATGGTTAGTGTGAAGTTGGTATACATAATATGATTAGTGTGAAGTTGGTGTACACTCGAAAAAGTACTTAATGTCCTAGCAGATAAGATATCAGAGTTACATTCTTTAGAAGCTTAGAAAAATTTACAGCTAAAAATACGGACAGTGGCTGATTTATTGCGTTACGAAAATGATTTTTCTGTTTTTAACTCTAGATATCTTGATTTATACGAGAAAATATATTTCCTTGGAGAGGTTCATGACAGTGGTCAACCTTTGGAAAGCCAAGCCCGCAAATCTTACGCTTCTATGCACCACTCGCTGCCCAACTACGCACATCACGAAGCCTCAGGTAACTGAAAAAAGATCGTTCAATGGGACTTTTAAGTTTGAAACTATCTGTAGTACGTATATATGCATACAACCTTTTTAATTATGTATGACCTATCGCCAAGAAACTACACTAAATATATTATGAACATATCTTTAATTTGTAGTTAAATACGTTTTATTCTTAGAATAAGTCATTTTTTTATTTCTCTATTGCGTGTTACTGTTCTGATATTTCCAGCATAGCATGGAAGAGACATTCACTTCCTCCATTTATCGAGTAACGTGCGCCGCGAGCACTTTCACGAAGCCGCATTTATTCTTACGATCAAGTCGTGATGATAAATATGACATATCGTGTCTGTTGACTTTTATCAGTTTCACACATCCTACCAACGAACGCTTTTAACGATATCACATACTGGTGACCATAGCAACCGGAATCGATCGCGTGTGGAACTGGTTACATAATATTATAAATGTATGATTTATTAGTCATATTTAATGCTAAGAAAATATTAATAATAATGACTGTGCATCGTAACGTCATAGCTATGGATACCACCCTAAGTTTAGAATATTTTTCCACTATATACAGTTTTCATGTCTACTTTCGTAATTTACGTACATTTCATGTCTTTGCTATGTTACTGGGGTACACCATTTTTTGTGTATGGCTTGTTACCCATGAAAAGTTTTCCATGTTTCTTCTGTTAGTCAGAAAAACACAAACTGCATCAGAGTATGTTTAACTGAATATACCAGATGCCTTTAGTATGTGTAAGTTTTAAAACTGTTATCAAAACAAACTGTACACAACACTCATTAAAAAACTACATACATTTGGTCATCATAGGAAATAGTACACACATGAGTAATGATGTATATATAATTTTTTCTTTATTTGATAAAATATCCAAGTAGTTATTACAGTGCAAGCTTTTTTATATCACTTGGAAAACAAGAAAAAAAATTTAACTAGAAGAAGGGCCTTGTAATGAAACTTATAATTAAACAATTTGCTAGATCAAAAACCTGTATTTTTGATTTTGTAAAAAAATTCTGAAAGAACTAAATTGATTAGTGTTATTATAAGAAGTAAGAAAGGTGACGAAGAATTGAATTGGTTCGAATAACAATAATAAAATTTGATTTGAAGGTTTTTAATTAGCTAAAGAATATTGTCCTCTCCACTGCCATTTTATATCGGGACATTCCAGCTACAAAACAATCCCACAGACACTAACATTTTCTATGCAGGTTGATATCTACAGATTCCAGTGGCATTAGATGTTTATTCCATGTGGGCTAATATGAGATCTGGTGGTGATGAATTATCTTAGTGATAGGGCATTTCAGAAGACAGTTATGGATGGAGAGATGCTATACAGCTAACACTAAGATAATTCATCATCACCATATCTTATATTAGCCCACATAAAATAAACATCTAATGCCACTGGAATCTGTAGAAATCAGCCTGCACAGAAAATATAGAGATGGGGCAGAGAGTGAAGCAGAAAAAGCCTATTAACACTTATTTAAAGACCATAGCGTGCAGTCATCTGTCATCATAATCACAGATGGTTCGTGTACCATGGATAGTGAAAGAGCTGGTTGGACATTCAATGTCTCAGGAGCAACAACATTCTGCATGAAGCTGTGGAGCATTCAGGCTTCCCACAAGCAAACGAGGATGGAGCTGGAAGCCATAAAATAATGAACTTCAAATAGACAGTGCTACCAACATAATATTCATAACTGACTCACAGGCAGTACTGCAAAAAATTCACATGGTTGGTCCATAGGTAGATGGCAGAAAACAAAGCAATTGCATATTAAGGTCATCACATGGATATATGTTTCAGGCCCTGCTTGGGTAAAGCTATACAAAAACGCTGACAAGAGAAGTCCCTTTATCAAATCCTGCACAATTCTACAGGCAGGGTATCAACTTCCTCTGCAATAGTAAGATGAAAGTGGCAACTCTGGAAGGTCTTCATTGAGATCCAAAGGGAATGAAGCTGCTGGAAAACAAAGTATTGTGTGGTGTAGTTAGGAAAAGTAAAAGATGAGGAATCAATAGAACATTATACAGCCAAAAGGCCATTGGTGACACCAATAAAGTAACTTTTCTACTTCTTGTGAGGAATATTATTTATAAACAACAACTACTTGGGGATTTCTGACAGCTGACACTAATAGAAATCCCAGAAGAAGGCCTCAACGTGGAGTCTAATACAGAGTAAAGAACAAACAGCAGTATTAGTTTGTTTCAAGTGTATTCTGTAGCTAATGTATTTTCATTTTAGCTAATGTAAGTTTAAAGCAATGATATATAATTCTAAATGACTTATCAAGATTTTTTTAGATCTCAAGCTACTGAATAATATCTGCTTCTATTGTTACAGTGAAGTTAATGGATGCAGCGGTGTAACTATTAAATATGTGGTAATTGGAGCTCTTAAAAAAAAGTACCTCAGTCGTTTTAGCTAGTGGGTTAATCCTTTAATTGATAGAGCACTTGCCTAGCATGCAAGAGGTTCCAGACTAATACCTGTCACAAAATTGGATTATAAGTTAGAGGCTATTCACTGCTCATAAATACAAGCTATTAACCAGTCAGCAATCATAAATATGAGCTAGTGAACAGACAGTACTTTGAAATTACAAGTTACTGACCACTCAGTGTTCATAAATACAAATTAGTAACCAATCAGTACCCAGAAAATGTGAGTTAGTGACCGTCAGTACTGAGAAAACAAGTAAAATATGTGATGATGTTATTGTGAGGTAAGAAGAAATTTAATGATTATTAACCTAACATTATTGGTTGTTAATGTATATAGAGGCAAAGGACTGTCTAGTCTGTATCTAACACTGCAACATTATATATTTTCAAAAGACAGTTACTTTTTTTAGTCAATTGCAAAAAAGGATTAGGGGTATAAGAGGCCATGAATAAAGTCTGCCGGGTATTTTAACAACAGATTGATTATTGTGACAGCAGATAACAGCGGTTACTGGGTGCACTATTTCAAGAATAGACTAAACAAATGAGCAAAGCTTTAACTATACATGTACTTTTCCAGTTTTCTATTAATTAGCATAACTCTTTTTCAAAGATTTGTGTAGCACATGTCTTACTTGAAACCATCATTACAGAACCCTTTGGTGAAAATTATGATTTACATTAGTTAAGAGCTTGTCGAAGCACACTAGTCTTAAGTGATGAAATGTAGAGCATTTACTGAGATACTCTTCTATTTATCATTGCTAACAACTAAAATGATGGAATTTAACCTCTCTTCACCTTTGTAGATTCTTTAAGGAACTCAGCTGGACAACCCAAGTCTATCCAAACAACAGAATACAACAAACTGTGCCTATCTTTTCTTAGTGGACTGCCAAATGAACAAGACTTTGCATTAAACACTTGCAACTTATTATCAAATGAGGGACAACGTGTACACTTACTTCATCTGAAACACACTCCCCAGTTGGTGGATCTACTTGTAGCACAAACAGGAATCTGGCCTTACTGTGAGTTTAGGCCTTTTGTATTTATAAATACCTTTTCTGAGTGCATGCATCTTAAGCAGAAAACACTAGAATATTAGAGTTTACTGTTGTGTATCTATCAAAATTTCAGAATGTGAGAGGAATTTTGTATTACTCTGAGTTAATTTTAACAGAGAGAGAAAATAGCTATGAAGAAAAATAATACTCTCTGAGACAGAAAAAGTCTCAGTCTCATTTTGATATAACCTTTGTGTATTACCAAACCTTTCTTGTGCTAATGTGAGTTAATTTAGAACAAACTGTCTAGGTTTCTGTAGACATTAATATTGTATAATCTTCATTTAAGTATAGAAAAGCCATGTTTGCTCTACTTATGATAAATTAAAAGCATTGCAAGGATGACAGTGTTAAAATGAACAAATTCATTATATTTATTTTGTAACAGATAATTATCATTAATTCTAATCAAAGCTAGCTATCCACAAAAATCATAATGAAATACTAACATAGTAATAAGTATAGCTAATTTAATATACAGATCACTTATAATAAGTAGAATACATTGAGTCATCAGTTGGGTATTCTCATTGGTAATGTTATTTTTAATTGTAATACCGATAATATTTTATGAGGTTTGGCCAGCTTAGGAAATTTAGGTTAGTCTTATCTTTATATGCTTTGCTAATAATGTAAAATAATGATAATAAAAATATGTAATATATTTTAACCAATATTGTTAATGAAAGTAGCATCTAAGAAAGAGTAGAATATAACTTACATGGATGTACTTCGTGCAAAAACTGCTAAAACCCTTTTGTTTGTGTGTTTATCTAATTAATCAATTGGTACTTTGTTTTACCTAAAACAGTTACAGAATTTGTGTATATTTGTAGCAGAGTTTTAGGCTTACTGTTACATGGGTTCACATAATTTGAATTTTTTGATAAGTTTTGGAATATAATAATTATCGTAATTTATTGCAATATTGTTATAGATGATGCTAAACTTCGTGAAGTGTACCTGGAAATCTGGAAAGATGTGGAAGGAAGAAAGATGGAAGAATTTTGGAAAACCTTTCTAGATTGTAGTCATCCTGAAATAATGTCACTCTGGGGGATGAATAGTAAGGAAATGTTATAATATTCTTTTCACATGAAAAAGTTAGAAAATAAAAATAATTTGTATACATTCTCTAGTTCAATAGTTAAATATATATTTTTATTACACCATGTTCTGTTTATGTATGCTGATTTGGGTGTTCCATTAGCTGCAATTTTACATATAATTCTAAATAATCTAAATAGTAATTCTGAAGACTTGCTGCATATGGTGAAACAATAATATATCACTGAGTAATATAAAGTGTTAACTTTTATGCTTAGTTCCTTTTATGAACTTTGCTACTGCCATGTCTACAATCTTTCCTCTTACTATAATAGATGGTAGCATGTATATATGTATCTATGTATGTGTCTGAAATAATAAATACAGTGTGGTATCATCTATTGTATAGCACCATAAACAAAAATCCATAAAAAATTTCATAAGTATGGTTGTGCAACAACCATTTCGTTATCATAGAACACAAATATAAATAAAAGTACTTTCCTACTAGGAAAAACACAACTTTCACTAGGAATGTATGTGAGAGTTTGATTATATCTTTATTGATGTAATTTGTAAATATAGTACTAAAAAATAAAGGGTACCACTTTTAATATATAAAAATATTACACTTTATATCAGCACAACCAGAACACTTCCTATGCAGTACTTCCCAGAAAAATCCTTTTTTAGAAAATATTAACTTTTTCTAAATTTTTTTTCAATGAGGTATGAATACTGTGATTAGTAATTACTACCATTTCTGCTAGTAATGATAAAGACAAAGAAGAAGTAACTCAAATTTTTTTGTGCAAAAATTAATTCTCTTTTCATAGTTGTTTTTCAGTAAATTATTTACAACTACTTCTTGATTTAAGTTTTCAGATAAATTTCAAAAGAATGTTCTAGTTTCACAATTGGCAAGTAGAAAACACTGAACCAAAACTGTTTATTTGTCAGAAAATTTATCAAGTTAATAAATTTTTTATATAAATATTATTTTGACTTCTTTATGAGTTTTAATTTATATAAATGAGTAACAGAGATATATAGTATCTAATTTCTCTTGCTTACTTTATATGAATTTGTTTCTGGCAATTGTATTTATGTTTTAGCTTTATGTTTACTATATATATATATATAAATAATTATTTGAATGTGTTACAGTAAAACACAAAGGAGTAATTTAGTCTTAATTAATTATCCTTTTATAATTTTAAATGATGCTTTTAGTTTTCCATTTATTATCTGATTTCTAAGGCTTTAAAAGAAGTTTTTAACAACACAGTTTCTTTCTTACAGATAACTATAGAGATGAAGATAGTGATTTCTTAAATTTAGATCAAGATCCGCAAGGTTACTCCCAAGAAGGAGAAAGAATATTAAAGGTATAAAATTTTTGGGTTCAGGAAAGAGGGGTCATTTTGTCTTTGAGTAATCTTATACAAATGTAGCAATTAATTGAATTCGTGCTTTAGCTACTCTGTATTCAAGTGATTTTGAAGGAATTTTTAATTTGGTAGAAAATTCTGGTGTATTGCAGTTAATTTTTTTAATTTGTAAGAGATAGTTCCTTTTTATTTCTCCACTTTTTGTGTTATATGCAGCTAACCTTGTACCTTGTAAATAAATAAAGTTTAAAAGTTTTGAAGTAATAATACAAAATATTGTTTGAAAATCAAAAATTTGATTTACATATTTACTTAAATAACTATTTTTTATGAGCCTTAATGAAGGTAAGCCTACAGCTACAACTAAATATCATGGCATTATCAAGGGAGGCCTTAGGCAGGTACGACCAGTGCAGCTGCACCAGGCCCTGCAGTTGAACAATGAAATTTTTTAGTCTAAATTTTATTTTATTTTTATATTTGGCCCTTGACCTTATTTGTTCTAAACAGTTGATTAAATTTGCCTTTGATATTGTATAAAAAGTTTAGTAGCAATAATTGTTCAATGACAGAACTGATACATGATCAGTTGTTACACCTAAACCATTCACCAGTTCAGTTGACTTTTACTTGCACCGAGCTAAAGTTTGCTTTCCAATTGTCATGAGAAAAACTTGTTTAAAATATTTACCCAGTCTGTCTTGACATAGTGAAAACCACTCAGAAATCATGTAATAAGTGTTTCTTGTTATTTATTTGTCATAATTTTCACTTTTGTGTTATACTATTTAATGATGTATTAAATTTAATTTTGAAGCATTACATATTATGTTCAAAACCATAAATAAATGTGGGGCTGAATTTAGCAAAGCCATTGTGTAATTCTGTGGTCAATCTATATGAATCTGATAAAGTAAACTTGGAATAAAAAAGCACCAAAATAAAATACCTCCTACCTAATGTTACTAATGGGTATTATCTTGAAAGTAAACAATATTAGAAACCTGTCAAGCCATGTTAAAAAAAAGTATCCTCAAGCAGAATGTAGTATCATTCATGGGCCATATAACAAGGGCAAAGGTTTACAATGTAGCCCAGCTTTCAGCCATATATTAAGTGGTATTTATTGAAATCAACAATATTCTTTTAACTAATTAAGAAATAAATAACAAAGACATTCTATCAACTGGTTTTAAATTATCTGCATGTGCCTTAAACCAATTCATTCACTTTACATAATTCTAAGCATAGAATTTTATTTGTCACTTCTAGAGATTGAGCCTTACTGTTTATCTCAGCATGTATTCAAGTCTTGTCTTCTTGACTTTTTCTCAGGTTCGATTGTCAAAAAGCATTTTAGTTAATCATAAAAACTCACTAAATTAAATTAAATTACTAGATGTTTTATTATTTTCTTTTAGTTTTCTATGTTTTCTGTAAAATCTTACAGACGAAAAATTGTAAACTAATTCTTGTTTCTTGATGCTTCAGTTTTGGTTAATGAACTGATAAACGCTTAAGTACTTAAACTTTACTGGAGATTATTTTAAATTGTTTGAATACAGGCACTTTAAAATGATTAAATTATGTTTTTGCATGAATATGTCATTACTGAAAGGTTGAAAATGATAAAGAAGTTTTTACAACATAGCTAGATAAAAAAACAATCTTTACTTTCCAGATAGTAATAAAAAGTCTTTATTTCATCCAACTTTTGCCATTGTGCCTTCACAAGGACTAGTAATAAAAAAAACCACAGTGGCAAAACATTGGCTAGAACCAAAAAAGATTTTTTTGTTATTATCTGGAGAGTAACGGTCATGTTTTTTTCTAACTTTATTGCCAAAATGTCTAAGTTCCTCCAGTATGCAATACAAAGTCTGAAAAGCAATAAAAAATAGTGTGTCAGTGTTGCAACAGTTGTTAAATTGTAGTGGCATTTATTGTGAGGTCAAGCACAATTTGATCTTATTAACAGGGTGGAAAACTTTCTTCATAATATTTAATGTTGTTCTGTAAAATTCATCTGTATGCATTTTTATGACACTTTGTTTCTCAAAATTATAACTAATGAATTAATGTTACAAGTTACTGTAGTTTGAACATATTTGTCAAGCAATGCCTTATAAGCCTAATTGTGCCAGGTAAGTTTTAAAAATTTGCATTAATAATTCTTAGTAAATTTACAATAAAAATTTTACCTTGTTTAGCAGTTTCAGTACTTATATCTTTAGTACCAAAGTATTAGAGCATTAAATTACAAAGCAATACAGAGCAGGCCCCCTTTTCTATTGGCTCTGATTCCTTTTCCCTTGGAACTAGTTTTCTTGATTGGTCTTCTTTCTATGGAATATAGTGATATACTGATATCTTGGGTAGTAAAACTAGTTTTAATGTGAATAAATGCTTGCAATTATATAGTTGGTCTAAATATTTATATTTAAAACAAATTTTTGTTAGCAAAAAAAGAGAGAGAGAGGAATACTAAGAATAAAGAATGTAGCAGTTTGTATCACAGGCAAAGGTACTCTGAATCATTGGGCATTATTTGTTGTGCAAAATAATTAACTGCAGTGCTTAAAAGTCTGTATTTCAGTTTATTATAAATAAATCATGGAAATATTTAACTGATCCAATCAGATTATCTATAAGAAAACTGATTGCAGGTTTAGAGCAAACATGCAAATAGGCCAACACTATGTGACAGATGTTTTGTTTTTATTTCTAGGTTCTTGTAATCCTTTACAATCTCTCTTTTGAGAAACACAATGTCCAAGTTTTGGCCCAAAATCCAAACTGTATTAGGTAAGCCACTAGTTTTGAACAGTAAATTAAAATTTTACTAAATGAAGCAAATAAAGAAATCATGATTTATAATAATCTTCTATTTTATATAGCAGTTGAACCAGCATTTACAAAATGTATCTTGTGATATGAATGTTTACCAGTTAGAACTTGCAGTGCTATTTTTAATTTTCTTTTTATACTTTGCCCATATATTTTATAAAGTAACATTTGTATAATGAAAGAATTTCACCATATGAGTAGTACTTTAATAGCATAAGAATGTAATATTTAAAAAAGTATTATCACTAAAAATTTTAGATATGTGTAGGAAAACACACACACAGATTATTTTTCAAAATAAAATTAATATACACTGTAGTACCATTAAGTGTTTGTTGTATTGGTCATCTATGTCATGATATAATTATCATACAAAGGTTTTGTACACCTTAATCAAAAATTGATTTATTACTGTGTTTTTGCCATATTTATTTTAAGTAATTTTTTTCTGACTGTTGCTGTTTGTTGTTTCTTGTGAGATGTATATAATTTAAGAGATGTATATAATCCTAGTATTGTAATTGGTTTTTGTGTGTTAAGCATTTGCATTTAAAGTGTTACAAGATTTCTTCTATTTGATAGAAGTGTATGTATTCATATCATCTGTGCTACTGTGGAAAAAATAGTTTGTCAAAATTGATTTCAATGTCTTTAATGCAAAATACTTTCATGAATTAAATCTAACTGTTAAGTCTAGATTTAGCTCCATCAACAGCTTTGTTTACAGTTTTTCCAACTTTAACTCAGGTATAGCTATTGTTATTAAAGCATAAATAATATGTTTGATGCATATTACAACAACTGTATGATACCTAACCAGAAAGTATAATATATATTTTCTGTTTTGAGTAATTTTTGACATAAGACGTAACTGTTAAAAGCCCTTAACATGGGTCTGCTTCACCGATTTGAGTTACATTTTTGCTCTCAGTCACAGTAAATGTCTAAAAATTAGATGAATAAGGACCACATGTTGGAACATTATAAATTATCTTGGTTGCATTAGCTCATTTAGAATTATGTTTATGAACCTTATTTGTCTATTCATTACTAATTTGAAACACTAAACTGTAGTTCTATTTTCTTCTAAAGTATCTGCAGTTTTTCTAGACATCTAGTGGCTAACTCAAAGTGATTAATGTTTGTAAAAAACATAACTTTTTTCATCTGCTTTGTGGGACAATTGTGGATTTGGAAATTTACCTTTTTTTTTCTTTTTCTCTCTAGGCTTCTTCTTTTAAGTTCCCATTGTAAATGGTCATCACTAAAGCAGATTGCTTTAGATACAATAGGAAATCTGGCATCCCAGGTATTTTTTATCTGTGAATTACTTAAATAAACTTATCACATTGTATTGGTATTATTCAAACCAAGCTATCATAAAAAAGGTGTATAATCAGTAGTATCCAGTCATGTTGCTGTACACAGAAAATTGTACCTTTTTGTATGCCTTTTTTTTTTGTTATAGTGTAGCTCTATATGTGTTTTCTCCTAGGATTCAAATCTAGAACAGTAGCTTTAGTAGTAGAATAACTCATCTGATAGGTTTTTATAGACTGTTGAATATATAAGATTTCATTACAATGGGTTGAACAAACTTCAAGAAAACAAGTGTGAACATGTGAAATATTACTTTAAAATATTTTATTAGAGTATCTGGTAGTTTGGAGAGTCGTGTTTTGTTTGTTTCATACAGAAGTGATATTTATTAAAAGCCTATAAAGATTGTGGTTGTATTTATGAATCTTAAGAAAAACCAAAATAAGTACTCAATTTGTTCAAGAATATATTACCTTTTAAAGAAGTGAAGTTATAAATAAAACAAGTTTTTTTTTATTTAATTGAATTAAGAATCCATCCTAAACATAAACAATTTAAATACAGAGCAAAAATGAGTAAAATAAATGCAGTGAAATTAAAGATTTTGACTCTCTGATGTTTATCAGAGCAGCAGTAGACAAAATAAAATAGAGAACATAACTTGGAACTTTATTGAACATGATATATATGAAATTTTGATGAAAAGCTTTGCCTATGATTTTACACAAAAAATAGCAACAATGTTTTATTAATTCAGCTATATAAAAGTCCTTACCTAGTGGCTCAACAGTAAGTCTGAAGGCTTATAATGCAAAAAATCTGGTTTCAGTACCCATAATGAGCACAACACAGCACAGATAGCCCATTGTGTAGCTTTACACTTAACAACAAGCAAACAGGCGTATAAAAGAATGAAAATACTGATTTATACAGAAATGGTTTGTAGTATATGTTTTAACTCCTTGCATAGATGGATTTACATATGATTCCTACTATTTTAACATGTATATGCCTACTGAGAGAGAGAAACTGTTTTAATCATGTACATTTTAAGTAACTACAAAACAGTTACAAATTCTTTTACTCTATATGGATCATTAAATTATTTTCAGTGTTTATGTAATAGTTTTATATCTTAAAATTTTGTACTTTTTTTATAAAACGTTCCTTCACCTTCTGTTTTTATGACAGATATCTTTGAATCTTGAGAAAAGTTTAAGTTCAAGACTTGTGTGGTGGACGGTTTCAGAAGGCATTCTATCGTCAGACAGATTTCTTATTATCAGATCCTTAGAAATTTTGTCCCAACTTTGTTTGTGTGAAAATAATGAAGAAATAATAACTTCAAATCTGAAATTTCAGGTTAGAAATTAACTTTGTGATTTTTTTGTTTGTTTTTTAATTCTTAGAGCTCAACTAGAAACAAAAAGTATTGTGCTTGGTATTCAAAAACTTATTTTGAATGCACCATTTTTTATATTCGAGTGATTAGAAAAGAGAGTAGGACACAATACCTTTTAAAATCAAGTTTCATAAAACAGGGATGAATGAACCATCTTTTTAGAGTGATCAGAAACCAGAACAAATGCCTCATCTTTTTAAAAATCACGTATTCAGATACCAGGGATAGAGGCACCTTATTTTGTAATAAAAGTCAAATGTTCAGGAATCAAGGCAGGATTCATTTGAGTTGTTGAAGCTCTAAGAGAACTAAATGGAAAATACTAAAATGTTTTCATTAAATTTAAGTTTATGAACAGCAGTTATATGTATTATTTTCAAGATTAAATTTGCAACATAAAAAAAAAAAAAACCTGTCCAAATTAAATTATTGCAATATTTATTTGTTGTTAAAAGATATTTACGTGTAACTTGAATATCTTAATTGATTTTTGACACCAACATGAATCATATTGTATCATCTTAGCATAGGAACTGATTATATCTTAAATTACATATATATATATATATATATATGTTTTTCCTCTTTCTCCCTCTCTCTTTAAAACATTTAACTACTGTCTAATTTTAAAAACTGTTAGTTTCAAAATAAGTGTTTAAGTTAAAGGAATATGAAAATTGTGTATTATGTGTATAAAGCTAATTATTAACATCATACTATCAAACGTTAGTAGCAGTACAATTGAATTTGTAAATTTGTAGCTTATTTCAAGGGTTAAAAAACTAGTTAAAGGGATGGATTTAGGTATTTTGCTGTCCTGGGTAAGATTTTAAAATTCCATTCCTAGTGAAATGCCTGCTCCATTATCATTAGTAAACAATATATATGTATATAACACTGGATATGGCAGATGTAGTCTGGTTGACATATTATAACATATTCTTCTTTGCTTTCACTCATGAATTGTTCAATTTATATGAACAAAATGTCACAATTTATAGTAAATCTTCACTTTAGCATTCCTGGCTTTATCTTACTTCAAACTGTTTGGATTTAGAAGAGCTTCATTTTTTCATCTTTTAGTAGCTGTGAAGTACTTCTTTAAGATATATTTTCTTGAATTTAGTAGAAGCTTGTTTTGTATTTGAATTGATTATTTTACAGTTTCTTGTGTCTACAATCACAGTTTCCAGGTCAGTAAGATAAGATCAAAGGATGTAATGTGATAGTAAGATAGTCAGTTCTATTGAAAGTTAATTGAATATAAAACTTAAGTTGAGTATGCCATTCTAGGCAGTTGTCTATCTACTAAAGCTGGGTGTAACTAACTATAAAATGGAACAAGACTTTCTAATTTGATTCCTGATTTCTATTTTCTTGATACTTGTAGATATGGGAGAAAATATTCTCTTTCCTAACTGTTCATGACATAATGCTTATAATTTATACCTTGGAAGCATTGTACTCTTTCTCTGGACTAGGAAAAAGATCTTGTGAAAAGCTTATTCGAGTTCACAAATGTGTAGGTAAGTCACACCAATGTATTGCTGTGAGTGTAAGAACTGTGTGAAGGTTTAAAGACGGTTATTCACATAATAGGTAAATACACAATAATGAGTAAAGTAATTTACAATAAAGTTTAAATACACATTAATGGAACAATACCAAATTTAAATGGAATCTAGTTTCAGCATTTCACATATCCTCTTCAGTCCAAAGCTGTATCATGTCACTAGAAGCAGTGGAACTGTGTATCACTTACTTCCATGATAAGCTGAAAATCTATTTCATGTTATTGTTATCTGTTGAGCTATGTGTCACTTAATTGTCACTATAAGCAGTGGAACTGTGTATTACTTACTGTCATGACAAGCTGTAAAATTGTGTCACTTTACCAAATTTCAAACTGTGAAACTATGTTACTTACTATTACTAATAAATCATTATCATTAAACTATGTTTCACTTTCCATTATTAAAAGTCTTAGAAATACTATACATGCATTCATTAAATGTCATTACAAACTGTAATGGTGTGAGTCACTTCACTGTCAACACAAGTTCTGAAACTATGCATTACTTCAGTGTCACTATAAGCCTTATACATTTGTTTGACTTTAACTGTAGACTGTGAAATTATATTTCACCTTACTTTCACTGTAAACTTTAGTGACATATGTCCCTTCATTGTAATTAAAGCTGTTGAGATGCACCACTTCAGTGCCACTTTGAGCTGTAGAGATGTGTGTCACTATTATCTGTATTATTTGATATTTTGTGCTGGATATATATGTGTTTCTCATAGAATCAAATCATAATATTTGTTCCAAAATTGTTTTAGGTACTTTTCTGCAGAATATAAAAGATATATTTTCATTTTAGTTTTAGTATGCTTTTTAGAATCAAGTGCCTGTAACAACTATAATGTTCATTTTCATTCTCCAGGGGTTGTGCTTAAATCTATTGGCCAGTTTTTTGTAATATATACAAGCATTTTCAAAAGTATATTATTTGAATTTTCATATTTGTCTTAGGAATTCTAGTGTCTCTATTGACTTTTGAACCTTGCATGTATGGTGTTAATGCTCAGTCAGACTTCAAGCTAGTGGAGGTGTGTGAGCCAGTAGATGAGTCAGACATACAGCATGCTACGAGGTCAAATGATGGTATGTATGTGATAATGATTCTTCTAATTGTATTCGTGAACATGTGTATGGCCATCAGTAATTAATTTTTTCTATTAATGAATATTCATGTATCTAATTCAACAATATAGACTCATCAGGGTTCCAAGAAAATATTTATTTGCGTGAATATTTTAATATGCAGACAAGAAGTCCCATATTTCTTCTAGTTGAAATTATGAGCAAACTGCAAACTATAATTTTAGTCACAGTTAATGTACTGATTAAATCAGATGTATCTTTCCTCACTGTTGTTTGTATCTTTAACATTGTATAAAATGTACACCAGAAAAGCTGCTAAAAATGTACAATAACAGTTAATAATAATTATTCTTAATTATGATTAGTAGGCAAACCATAAAAACCCTTTATGATCATACAGCCTTAAGTCATCAGTTAGATACTCGCTGTTTAATGGTGTTATCAGCCTCTTTCCCAAGAGCACCTGATGGCAAGATTGGGCCTGCATAGCAAATTGCTAAGCACTGAAACATAATTGTCCCATGTCTATCATATTTGGCCAATGTAATTATTACTGTTAAAAGATTTAATGTTATATTGTAAATATATCTAGTAACAGTTATATTCATCCTTTAGTATCACTTAAAAAAAGAAAGCAAAAAGTCAATTTCTTTCCTCTTAATCAAAATTAGCAGTAATGTATGTTACTATACACCTGGAAAAAAGTTAGCA